TAAAAATATATAAATTGATTGTTTGAGATGGCAACAACTAATTTCCTATACGAGATAAAAAGAAAAAAAAAGGTTTTCTAGAAAAGTCATGGTATATTTTGCAGCTCTAAGCAATTTTTATTTGGTCGTACTCTGGGCAAAACGGCTCTTTGGATATGAAAGGTTGCAGACCCCTGCCTTAGAGTGAAACAATTATATACTTCTGGTTAATTCAAAGAAAATATAAATAAATAATCACAATCGATATTTCAATTAAATTTCAAATTAGATTTTTGGCAAAATCGTTTGGAGTCCTACTTTGAAATTAAATCCAGATCATGACAACCACAAGGCAGGCTTAAACCTTAGGCAAACGTACTTCCTGAAGCCCTATCACACTAGAGGGTTGAAACGTTTTATGAAATATTGAGCTTAAATCCGGTTGTCTCTGATTTAAGCCAGAAATTTAACATTAAATCTTTTAGAAATTGTTACAACTAATGCTACAGCTAAAACCTCTATATTATTTTCTTTACACCTATCCAGTCTGACAAACTCTAAATGCTGATCCCATTCTTTTTCAGTTAAACCATATGGCTGCTCATTTTCTTTTTTAGAGTCGTTTAGTGCAGCTCCCAGACTGTAAGCAACCTCCTCTATGACTTACCGACTGTATAAATACTGGCATCAGTCAGCTTGTTAATCGTGGCCTCTTGGTAAACGCCATCCTGATTCTTCACTTCAACAACAACCCCCACCTGTGTAACAGATGCACCACTGTTATTAACATGCTGCAAATCAGAATTATTGCCTGGTAATAAATCTAATGACGTGTTATCAGTAAGAGGTGAGACAATAACAATGCACCTATAGAAACTAAAGAGAGTTAGATCAAATTAAAATGCTAATTCCCACTGTCTAATGCTTTTCTTTATTAACTGCGGAAGGGGAGAGGGTGGTTAGGAGCAAGGGAAGGAATACATTTCATTTATGCTTTAGACAAAGGGGGTTTATTAATAATGGTTGAAGCTAAAAAAGAAAAGGTAAATAATAAAAAAGGAGCATAAGATAACAGAGCAGTCTCCATCGTTTTTCAAGCCGTACCTTCAGAGGCCCTTTGATGTTTTCATCGTGGACCTCTGCTGTAGACAGATCTGCTTTAAAGGTCACCTGGGGGAAGGAAGGACACAAAAGAGAATTAGTAATAAGAAGATTTACCTAAAGACCTGTTTTACAAGGACTGTGAATGGATGAATTTGTGAATGAGCTGTAGATGTCACATTTTTTTCTTCTCTTTTTTGGGGGGAATCTACACTTTTGGACGGGTGCCACTTCCTTTCCATGATTCTGTTTGATCGTACTGAGCTAGTTCCTGGATTTCATGATGGGGTAAAAGAAGAAGGAAGGTGACACTACCTAAATTATTCACAATCCTTAGATTTTTATGTGTTTTGTGATGTCAAAAGCAAACAAGAGCTGAGCGATTAATTGAATTTTGAATAATGCTCATTTATGTTTATGAAGATTTCCTTTTTGGAAAATTTTTTTTCTGCTAATCCACTCCATTAACTTCAAAAGCTCAGCGACGTATCATTGAATCCCTTTTTTGTTCTTAGATGTCTTGTTTGAAATGCTTGTAAAACAAGCATGTTTCATAAAAATCAACCAAAGAGGATTTTTTTTTTAAGTAATGTATGTCATTTGTCAGTTTTTATTATAAAACTTAACAAGAAAAAAGAAACACAACAGATTTATGAAATTTAATAGGAAAAAAAACTTTGAGATGGAGATTGGAGATTTAATTTTTAAGCTTTACTGGACGGAACACAAACTTCATTAGGATTTTATATCACAGATTAACAGCTCTGTGCTAGACTTCGAATTAGACAAACTTTATTGTCATTTTGTACCCAGAGGGTGTATACAAAACGAAATTTTATTCAGTACACCTCTCAAGACATTTCCATTTCTTAAAGTGCAGCAGTGATAAAATGTTTATTCGAGATTCAGCAGTCGAATGACTCCATCCTGGAAAGAAACATCAGCTGTGCTGCTTCCATCAACACCCTTGTTTATAGATGTTGGAGATCGGCCCATTTTCCAGTGTGGTCCTGTTTCTCTGACCATGACTGAGTGGATGTGCTCTCTTCATCCTCTGGCATGGGAGTTGGCTCGGAGCTCGTCTGCCTGGCTGTGTGTTTCCTGGACGGGGCCGCCTTTTACAGCTGCTTTTTGTGTCTCTGCTTCNAACTGGTTTTCCTTAGATAGAAAACTTTGTATCAATTTGACTGTATGATCTGGTTGAACTGTAAAGTGCCTTAAGATGACATGTGTTGTGAATTTGGCGCTATATAAATAAACTGAATTGAAATTGAATTGAATGGCAGTGGGGAAGAAGCTGTTGCAGAACCCGCTGGACCTGGATGCTTTGAAGCCTCTTCCCAGAGGGCAGCAGGAAGAACAGTCCACGGTGGGGGTGTGAGGGGTCATTGATTATGTTACGGGCTTGGGACATGCAGCGCTGGGATGAAATGTCTTTTATGCAGAGAAGAGCAGCACCGATGTTCTCACCACTCTCCTCCCCTTCTTCCAGTCTGAGGCGCTGCAGCCTCCACACCACACAGTGTGACAGCTGGTCAGAACGCTCTCTATGGTGCTTCTCTAGAAGGGTGGGGGCAGGTGGGCTCTCCTCATCCTCCACAGGAAGTCCAAGCGCTTCTGTGCCCTTTAGACCAGTGAGGTGGTGTCCAGGTGAGGTTGTCTGTGATGTCCACCCCCAGGAATTTGGTGCTGCTGACCCCCTTTACAGCTGAGCTGTTGATGACCAGTGGAGCGTGGTTAGGCCGGTTTTTCCTGAAGTCAACGATGATATCCTTCATTTTCTCCACGTTCAGGATCAGGCTGTAATTTCTGCACCAGTCCACCAGCTGCTCCACCTCCTCTCTGTAGTCCAGGCCATTGTCGTCTCTGATGAGGCCCACCACTGTGGTGTCCTCTGCAAACTTCACGATGTGATTGGTGGTGAACCTGGGGATGCAGGGTGAACAGCAGGGGGCTCAGGAAGCAGCCCTGAGGGAAGCCTGTGCTGAGGATGGTGACATTAGAGGTGTTCTGTCCAACCCGGACTGACTGACGTCTGATTGTGAGGAAGTCTAACAGCCAATTGCAGAGGGGTGTATTGAAGCCCAGCTGTTCCAGTTTGACCATCAGATGCTGTGGGATGAAGGTGTTGAAAGCTGACAGATGAAGATGCTGTGATCTACTGATGTTTTTCTAGAGTTGTCGTCCTGCTGGATGCTAGGGGTTCAGCCTCCATTCTTTTTCAGGTTCCAAAAGGTTTTCTTCTAACGTGGCATAAGCCAGATTGATACATATATTTTAATTCAACATGGTACCAATCTGGCAAGCCTCTAGTTAGAAGCATTCACAAAAAAGGACATTCAAGACGGCTTATTGGGGAAATCACCAAGTGGCACCCAATCCCATGCAGAGCCTTCAGCCAATCACAGCAGCAGTAGCAGCTATGTTGTATTGCATTCTAAATTTTTTATAACTAGCAGAGTTCACTGATAAATCAAACTCTTGCCAAATCCGTTCGGAAAGAACGCATAAAGTCTTCCATCCGCAAAGACATCAATTGTGTTCTTCATACAGGGTGTTCCAGCCCAAACTGGTTTAGCCCTGTTTGTTTTGCTTCAGCCTTCCACCTCCGATTCAGGCGTTTATGTCATACACATCACTGCGTTTCATTGAACAGAAACATTTCTCTATCAAGGTTAACACATCTGTTGGTTTTTTGGCACTATTTATTTTCGGCAGTTAGTGAATTCACAAATCTTGCGAGAATTCATCTTGCTTGCACGGTATGATTTCTTCCAGGATTGCCCTAAATTTAGAGCCATCAGTTCTTTAATCAACTTGAACTACATGCATTGTCTGTGCTAGAGAAGAGCACCATGCTGCCACCACTGTGTTTCATTGTGGAAATGGAGTGTTTGGGGTCCCTGTTCTGCAGCAGACAACCTTGGGAGACACTTAACAGATGTATCCAGGCTACGGTAACTTTCTTTACTAATAAAGTGACTTCTAAAGGCATATGATTGAAACAAATTTTATTTAGGGTCTTCTTAGTAAAGGGGGCTGAATGCAGATTAAATTTCCTATTTTCCATTATCCATTTAGTACACCTGGAAAGTGTTTACAACAGTCAGAAAAAAAGAAGCCTCTTTACATTTCATTGATTTTCCCTCAATTTGAGTTTATTTTCTTTCGGTTTCTTGGGAACATTTTTTGGGGAAATGTGTACATAATATAACAAGATTAATTTGAGAGTGCAATTAAATTTGCTTTCTGTGAAATCCAGCTCAATTTAGAATCAATGACACAGAGGCTCGGGGTGAACAAAATGTCAAATAGCCGCTATTAGAAAGCACTCCTGCAGGTAACTGCTTCAGGCAATGACATGGAGTCGGCTCAGATATACCAGCGGTAGAAAAAAAAAAGCAATCGAAAATTCACTGTGTAGGCAGAATCAAGGCAAAGAATGAAAGAAATGTTTGAAATTGTCAGGTCATGAAAAATAAGACAGGAAAGGAAATGAATAAAAAGCTTTCTGAGGCAGTAGTTCCTCGGTTAATGACATTCTAGCCTGATGAAAATAAAGGGATTCCTTTCTAACAGAGAGCAGCAGGATGCTGTTCACTCTAAAGGCAAAGCCAAGAAGGACCTGTGATGTCTAAAGCCACAGCTAGACCACATCAATAACACCTGACCACACTAACAAAGCCAAGTTGCTGTGGGGGAGCTTTTCAGCTGTTTAGGCTCAATAACATAACACACATTTTAGATGATAAATAAAGCATTTGATTAGAGAAAACCAAATGTAATTACCTCATCATCGTCATACCATAAAAACATTCCAGTTTATTAAATGTTTCCTGTTTAATGCTGTTTTTTTCTCCCAGTATTTTGATGCATCAGGTTGTCTAGGTCAATAAAGTTTTACTCAGCATGATTTCTGAAGCGTTGGCAAAGTTTTCGTAGCCAGAGGGCTTTTTTATTTCTTTTCCTGAGGCAAATTCTCAGCTTGTGTAAATTTCCACCTCGGTAAATATTTTTCCAGTGAGTTTGTCTGGACTGATAGTGACTCATGAAACTGACTTGTGACATACAGGTGTACTATATGTCTTTATGTCCCTATTTTATGGTTTTCTTTAGCTACATTAGCAGATATACGATAGGATATGATGTAATGGGATTTTGATGAAAGGATGGATGAGCAAAGAAAGCACGGATGGGTAAATAACTAACAGCAGACAAACTAAAGGAACACTAATACCAGATTTTTTTTAGACTGAGGAGGTCTGAACCAGCTACAGGACAAATATCACTTCATTTCTTTATAAGAAAAAAACAAACAAAAAAAAACACATAAAGCAATATTTAGTTTATTAGTTTTGTCAATGCAAAGGCACATGACTCAGCATGATTCTGACATTGAAATGAAGTGATTGTGAGGATAATGGTAGTGGGAACACTGGTAGATAAGCCCACCTAAACAGCTATCATAACGACACGTTTTATTAACGCTGACCTGACGTCCTCCAATAGACTGATTTCTGATGTATATGTGCAAATTAAAAACACCATTTTAGCCACTACGTCCAATAAAAGACAACATTTTTGGTAGATTAACGGCCTGTTACACTGAAATGGACTTGTATGAACCCTACTGCCATCTTAGGCGTTTAAAACTGACCAGAGGTGTCTAATAAACCCCCCCCCCCATAGACATGTAGTGATGATGGATGTAAAGAAATCACGCCCGACTTTGTAATATTGCTGCCAGGGTCAACGCTTTCATTCAGACATAGGAATTAAAACTTGGCCAAACTAACTGAGGCTCAGGTCGAGGTATAAAGAATGCATTTTTGAAGAAACCTTTGACCCAAAATAAGGTAAATGACTCAGCCCCAGCAGAAATTAAGACTAGCTACCTGGACATGGCTGCCAGAGCTCCTGCAGAAGGAAAGTGAGAATAGATTATCTTAAAGGCATACTATGCAACATTTTTCAGTTAATTAATGTGTTCCATAACGTTTTGGATGATTAAATGAGTCATTTCAGGATGAACAAAGGTTTTCTCGGCTGCCCTGGTGGTCTGTATGGGAATTACCGTACTTGCAATTGCAGGAGCCCTCGGCCCGCACCCACAGGCTCAGAAGTCTAGTGCATCGCGAGAGTCGGTCTTGCTTTATGGCGAGAACTGCTACAAGCCCCCAGTGAAAGGCATGCTCGTTGCTAGAGCAGTGGCGATCTTTGTGCAGTTATCATGGCGGAAACCAGCGAGAAAACAGCAAAATTTTCAAACTCGAAAATTGGAACAAAATAGTCACTTACCGCAGTAGACATGGTGATTCGTTGCGTTCGCCTGTCTGCTAAGCTCAAAACAACCGCGCCTGGCTTGATGTAGAAACCAGGAGAACAGCTGAGCATATTTACGACAGTGCACTTTTACTTTCGACCTCTGGGGGGAGCCTCGCTGGAAAATCAACGCCGGTTGCATAGTATACCTTTAAGCCGGGCATAAACTGAATGATTTTGTTGCCCTTTTCTGGCTGGTTCTCATTTCGTGCAAAGTTTTTTCGATCAGACCAACTTCCAGCCTGAACGTGCGTCGTGTAGTGTAAAGGGGGTAACGAGGGGTGTCCAGCCTCTCACAACAATCTCCAGATCAGGAATCGTAAGGTCCGGAGAAAATCAAACTTTTTTAAAATAAAGTCTACTGTCATAAGGTCGCATCAGAGTGTCGGGCCGCACAGTGTCAGAGCATGCATCGTGAGCTGTGAACTTTTTTTAAACGGCACTAGTTGCTCATTTTTCCGACAGTAGGCTGACAGGTAAGGGGGTATGAGAGAACAAGCGGCAAAGGACCACAGGTCGGTGTCGAAGCCGGGTTGGACGCTTGGAGGACTGAGGCCTCTGTACATGGGTCGTGCGCTAACCACCGCGCCACCTGCATGCCACAGCTGTGAACTTTTAAACCCTGCGGTTTTGTCGTACAGTTTGAGCTGTAGATGCGTACAACGATTAACCTTTAGAATAGATGGTTACAGAAGTTAGCATTAAAATCTACACTGGTTGCACATTAGAGACTGACATTTTTTCGGGAATCCCATGGGTCACGGGATTCCCGTGGGATTCCCGTGGGATTCCCGTGGGATTCCCGTGGGATGGGAGACAGTATTAGTAACGATCACGGGATTGGGACGGTACAGGATTAAACATTAACGGGAGCAGACGGGAGCGGGAGCAAACCAATAGTAACTTCCGCTCTGAGTTTTTCACCCGCGCTCAAAAACAACAAGAATGGGAGTGGTGCAGGAGCGGGAGTCATTCTGAATGGGAGCTGAATGGGAGTAATTTCACCAGGAGTGGGACGGGGCAGGATTTAGATTTCTACTCTGGCCCGGGATCGGGACACCATTTTTTTCTGTGGGAGTGGGACGGGACAGGAGTGAAAATCCACTCCCGTGTCAGTCTCTATTGCACATTAATGGTGCACAACAGTAACCACCCACTCCAGGCTTATGAAACATAAAGAACCCTCCATGGTTCATCAGAACATTAACAATAAGAGGCTGGGTCTGGACAGAGGAAATTCATTAAGGGTAAAATAATTCAACTCTTGTTGATTTTAGTGTTTTGCTTTTTTATGATGCATGCCTGCTTGAGTGCGAACAGGCCACAGGGCCTAAGGCTGCTAATATATTCTGTGAAGTTGACGACATCTGAAGGGCCACTTTTCCTTCAACATGACCCATTTCAGACACACACAATAAGGACTAAACATAATTGAAAAATACAAATTGTCTAGGATATTGGTCCAAAGACAAGATCTCACTCAGCCACAAACACTGTTCACTGTATGTTGGATTAGATTTCACTCATGACAGACCTGCTGACTCCTCACAGAGATTGATAGTGGTGCTAAAGAGACAGAGTCGTTCACATCTCTTCACTTCGCCTCATAAAAAAACAACAAACAGTTATGTTGCAGTTATTGACTTGGCTGCACAAGCAGAGAAAGATTAACGAGGCAAAGTAGGTAAATAAGGTAAAGAAGACTCCATCGAGGCAGAATATTTAAACTAAAACCAGCCACAGTCTAATAGTCATGTTTAAACATTTGCGTAACAGAGCTCATTCTCTCATTACAGCTTTCCAAAAACAAACCTGACACTGAGCCAATTAGTATGCTAATGAATCTACTAGCCTAGTACTGCTTGCTTCTTCTTAGCCAACATTATCTACACAAAGAAAAATCAAGCGGTCTGCTTTGTCATGGTGTCTGATCCTGTGAATGAGTGCGGAACAGCAAGTCATTGATGATTTAAGCCGGTGTGGCGGAAAAGCACGACGTGGCCGCTCCTTTATCTCGACGGGGGGAACCACCGAGCACATGACTCAGTGAAAGAGCCAGTGTCCAAATGCGTTCCTCCCACACGCTCCGGCATAACGAAAGATGGGTCTCTATGGCATTATCCAGATGCTCCTGCCCCAGCAGGAAACGGGATACAGTACTGTGTGTGTGTCGTGAAATGCCTTCATAGGAGACATGTAAAAATCGAAGCAAGGGATCGGCAGGAGGCAGCTGTTCTGTGTCTGTCACGAAGAGAAAAAGCAACCGATAAGAGGGAAACCTGAGGGTTGGGAGGGGGCACTGATGACAGTCTGGCTCTTGATCGTTCGTTCAGCTAAAAATGAGCAGTACAAACAACATAAAGCAGGTGGTGGAGCTCCAACAACCAAGCAGGCAACACAGCTGGACTTTTTCCAGCATAGCAGACAGGAAAGTAATTAAAACGTGCATCTAATCATAGAGTATCAATGTGGTACACTCTAATATCTAACATAAGCCTATTCTAATCATCTCAGCAATCCCCTCTTTAAAGAAAGGGCTTTAAATGTGTCCAAATCTCAATAGCTTTAGATCTAAAGTGAAGCTGTGGCGTTTTATCAGCTCCAAACAAAGAGAAACCTCCCAGGCCAACAGAGGCAGACAATCAATTTCTAATTTTGAATCACGACTTACCTTGGCCTTGACGAGCCTCTTGGCCGTCTTGATCTTGGCTTCACAGAAAGCCCCTCTGTACTTGGCGCTCACATCCGTCCCAACAGTCAGGTAGGGGGGCTCCTCTAGAGTCTATGGAAATGAAAACGAACGTAGTTAAAAATAAAAACTGCTGAAGAATGTATCACTTACTGAAACATGCTGGTGTGTTACATAGAGTATGTCGGCATTGTAAAAGCACATCAAAATCAGTGATTCATCCATGGAAAATATATACCATCTGCTGTGGGTACTGGAAAACAAGCCTCAGAGGACGCAAACAAGAAGATCATTTCACTCTGACTTTCATTATTACAGAGATCAGTCTGCTGAAAACAAGCAGAACCATGTTTGTGGTGTTGTTGGATGTTTTTCAAACCTTTTCCCCTCCAATCAGGGGTTGGTTTGGAGAGAGCAGGGTGCACAAGAAAAATGTGTTGCATGTGTAAATGGAAGAAGGGGATGTTAATGGTTCATGAAATGTGGCTAGGATTTCTTCAAGAGGTTTTTACTGCCACAAAATCTAAGGAAAGCAGCATCAACAGTGATATTAAGCAAGAGCTCTAGTCTCAGGATACAGTGAGCTTTTTTAAGAGCTTAAAAAAGGCTACAAATTTTATTTATTATTTCTATGGTTCTATGGTTTAAAGTCAGACCGCACACAATTCTTCGCAACTACGCCTGCCCAGCTTTGACCGGGACAGAATCCTGTTTTTTTGTGGCTGGACCCATGCAGGAATGTCAAAAGTCTGACAGGAAAATAGAGCCAGTGGCAAATAAAACATCCTTTATGGTGGGAAAACAAAATAATGTCTACCATAAATAAAGTAAACCAGCTAGATTTGCCCTCTTTAGATGCACATATTGTATATATAGCAAGTGGGCCGACTAAAGATAAGCAATCAATAAAACATTTGAAAAAACGGGGTAATTTAACCATGATAGGAGGTGAGGATTACAGAAAACAGACCAAGTAAATTAGCAATCCTCTGAGTTAAAAAAAAAAAAACTAGATAGGGAAAAGGAATGCCAATGAGAAGATGTGGGATACATGAGACTTTATGGACTCCCTTTAAAACAAATGAAATACACAGAAAGGGGTGCTAGATATCTTCCTCACTAAAGGGAGTCACAGCAATGTGACATCCGATGTCTTTACAGTTTTTTTCCATTCAAAGCATAATTACTCATAGAAACTACAGTTAGCAGAAGTCAACTGACCGGCCTCTTCTTAGGCTTGACCGGTCCAGTTTGTGTGATTGCTATGAAATAATGTGACAGCTGTCTTGTTGAAACTACAACTTATAACCACAGTTAGAAAAATAAAGCTGGTGAAATACAAGCCATGTGTTCAACCAAAATGAAAAAAAATTGATGTATGAAAAATGTGATTTTTTAAGATTATCTCTGAAAAAAAAGTACAACAAAAGTACAAAATGGGTTCTGATTTTCAAAAAACAAATATTTGTTTCTTATTTCATAATAACAGACGTCAAAAACTGATTGAAGCCCTCAAATAAGCAAATTAAAATTCTTTAATAGCATTACACAACCCCTTCTATAAATGCTGATTGGGTTTTTCCATGTTTTCCATGATTTCAAAGTTTTGAAATCTCAGAGGTGCTCAGTTTTGGTTATGTTACATTAAATAAAAGCAAGAAGCCTACTTTCTTACTCTGTCATTTTAGGTTTGGGTTCTCGCCAACATATTTCAGCGTGAAGGAGCCCTACCATGAAATGTGTTACCGCTAAGCTGAAATGTGTTACTGCTACACTAAAACGTGTTACCGCTAAGCTAAAATGTAGCGGTAACACGCTGAAATGTGTTACCGCTACGCTGAAATGTGTTACCGCTACACTGAAATGTAGCGGTAACATGCTGAAATGTGTTACCGCTGCGCTGAAACGCTGAAATGGGTTACCGCTACGCTCAAATGTGTTACCGCTACGCTCAAATGTGTTACCGCTACGCTCAAATGTAGCGGTAACATGCTGAAATGTGTTACCGCTGCGGTAACATGCTGAAATGTGTTACCGCTACGCTGAAACGGGTTACCGCTGCGCAGAAATGGGTTACGCAGAAATGGGTTACCGCTATGCTGAAATTTGTTACTGCAACGCTGAAATGTGTTACCGCTACGCTGAAGTGTGTTGCCGCTACGCTGAAATGTGTTGCCGCTACGCTGAAATGTGTTGCCGCTATGCTGAAATGTGTTGCCGCTACGCTGAAATGTGTTACCGCTACGCTGAAATGTAGCGGTAACATGCTGAAATGTGTTACCGCTACGCTGAAACGCTGAAATGGGTTACCGCTACGCTCAAATGTGTTACCGCTACGCTCAATTGTAGCGGTAACATGCTGAAATGGGTTACCGCTGTGGTAACATGCTGAAATGTGTTACCGCTACGCTGAAACGCTGAAATGGGTTACCGCTGCGCAGAAATGGGTTACCGCTGCGCAGAAATGGGTTACCGCTGCGCAGAAATGGGTTACCGCTACGCTGAAATTTGTTACTGCTACGCTGAAATGTATTGCCGCTACGCTGAAATGTGTTACTGCTGCGCAAAAATGGGTTACCACCAATTCACAAATTTATTATGAGCGTATCGGCTCTCTATTGACATCTGGGTTCTCTTTCCCAGGGCTCAGTCCAGCACATTTCTGCAAAAAGTGCCAATCACAATAAAGTTGTCAAAATTACACAGAAATTAGGCCGATACACTGACTTTTGGAAGAAGCGGTTGTGGAAGTTGAATCGTTAAACAAATTTATCTCGCTGTGAAAAGCTCTGAAAACGTCACCTCGCGCCTTTCAGGCTTCCCCGTTAACTCAACTCAACGAGGGCTCCTAACGATTATTTTTAAATCAATTAATCTGTCAATAATTTTTCAGATTAACAATCGGATAGCCAAAAATTACTTAAAAGAAGATTTTTTTCTACAAAATTAAACCAACTAAAACTAAAAGCTTTTCACTTGAGGATTTCTGGATAGAGCATATTGACAGAGATTTGTTTTTATTTTTTTTATTAAGTACAAAATGTTTCTATATATTTTTTTTCTTTTAACAATTTTGGTATAATTACTGCTCTAAGAGGGTTGCTCTGTCAGCTAAAAGTATCTTTTACAGTCTTGATACTCATAATTAATCGAAGTCTAAATTAGTTTATGATTATTTCAATAATGAATTAATCACAATTAATCCGATTAATTGTTTCAGCCCTAAACTCAACCGTGGTGCTTNCTAAATTAGTTTATGATTATTTCAATAATGAATTAATCACAATTAATCCGATTAATTGTTTCAGCCCTAAACTCAACCGTGGTGCTTGCAGACAGGTGAACACATGCGTTACTGCACCGCCAGTAGACTTACAGCAAACCTATTATACCAGTAATGGTTGATATATTTAAATATGCAACTATAAATAATTGTTACTTTGTTTGCTTTAAACTAACATTTCTCCAAATAAAATGACCATATAAATTCCTTACTTGAAATCTAGTGTTAATGGTATGCAACAGTGGCTATTATAGGGCTCTTTAAAGATGAAAACAGGACAGAACTCTTTCATCTTCAACAGTGTTGACTTATAGGAAACTATTTAATCACCCTACATTATATTAAAGCAATGATGGATAAGTGGAAACATTTTCTTTCTTATTTAAAAAAGTTAATTAGGCATTACAAAAATGTAAGTCATTATTATAATCAGAGAAAACACAATTACCATGCTCTCCATAAAATTCCCAACAGCAGTGGTGTCTTATTTACTATAAGCTGAAATAAAAGCTCTAACTGCAGACAAGCTGTGCTCAGTAAATATCTATTTCAAGCCGTTAACAAGACTTAGATGATTTTTTTACTCCATTTTGCATACTTTACAAACAGCAGACTGAATACTTTAACAAGCAGCACATCATGAAGCTGCAGAAACAAACTCCACCAGTGATTAGCAGCACAAAGAGCAATTAAAAGTGACTAATCACTTACACCAGATGTTGACCCTGTTACGTGTAATTGAGCAGGGAACATACAATTTAGGGACGTAAGCAATTCACATGTGGAGGCTGCTTGCTAGTCAGGATGTTTTTGCTATGAAAGGGTATCCGTCGCAACAGACGAGAGTCATGCAATGTTTTTAGCCACCAACTAAGATAATGGGCAGTTTTTTTACAATATGCAGAAGCCTAATGAGCGTGTGCAATATTGCAATATAAACAACTGCTTGGATAAATTATTTGGTAGGCCATAATATTACAAGTCTGCTACATTTCCACTTTTTATAAGAATAATATAGCTGACCTGTGGGAAGGCATCCATCTGTCCTAATCCTCTGGTTAAAGGAATAGTACACCCAAAACATGATTAGCCTTCATTTTCTACTCACCCCCATGCTGAACAACACTCTGGAGTACTTTTTTGA